TACCCACTCTTATCTCTGTGCATCTATATACTAACATTGCCTATTATGGACACAATATTGAAATCAGTCTCTGACATGACTTTGGGCATTCCTGATTCTCTAAGAAAAGTCCAGTTGCTATACTGCAGTTTCTCCTATCCTTACCCAAACCCTATCCCTATCCTTAGAAGAAACTCCTATCCTATCCTCCTACCCTAACTCACCAGCAGCTTTTTCAACTCTATTTAATACAGTATGAATCTGAGATAATGTGTGAATTTAATGAAATTACATGTGAATAAATACTTGCATTTAATGCAGCTTCTCCACATTTTTCAATGGCAGCCAGACCCTGATTATGAATGTGCGTTTCCAGAAGTTTTTTCAGCTCTCCAAGACCATCCTGGATTCGAGACACAAGGTTATACATGCGTCCCAAATCTGCAAGAAAATGGAGCAAAAAAAACCTTTCATCTGCATTGCTACCATTCCTGCTCACGCTAACAATTAGTAAGGAAAAGAGTAATACAATAGCTAATACAGTAAAATAATCCAAACAGTGGTAAATCCTGAGCAATATACCCAACTGGCTCTGTACCAAAGCTCAACTTAAATGCCTTTGTGTAAATAAACTGCATTTTATAATCCACAGTGGTATACATGCCATGAATAAATGGAACTGAAAGTATAAAAACCACTTCCTTTAATTTGTTGACAAATTAAAACTATCATAGAATAGTGAAGGGGCCATAGGGCCATACTTGGTTATGCAGAGGATTGAGAGGATTACCATTCCAGATGCTTTTCTTTCACCAGTCATTCTTCGTTGAATGTTTTTAGCTGTTCTTAATTCTTAATGAATCTTTTGGATAAGATGTTATTGTTACATTTACAGAAAAATGCTCTATTTTTAGAAGTGTATTTGTTTATACAATTAATAAGCAGCATAATTAAATAAAGTACTGGTTAAACAGCTAGAATCCACATGCTACCAGTCAAATCTAAAACCATTTTTTTCAGGTAAGTATGCTTGGGATAAAACTATGCTTAGACACACATACCTTTTAGAAATCCTAAATAACAGCACAGTATTTGTTCCTTTAAGGACTATTTTTATTTAAAACTACAAAAACTATGTTTCATACTGAGAATATTGAAAGACTAATACGTTCTCAAGGCCAAATTTGTAGGTAAAAATTTATTTAAAAAAATTTATGTGGGGTTCTTTTCTAACGCCAAAAACCAATTTGTCTCTAGTAAATGTGCCAAATGTTCAGGGTAGATGGGGCAGGGGGCATGTAAGCCAGATGTGTTTTCTTGGGGAGGTGGAATACTATGGGACTTTTTAACCCCCATACATTACACTTTTTGGAGACATAAAAACAGCCCATATGCAAAATGAAGATATATTTTTCCCCAAAACAGAATATAGCTTTGTTTCCAAAAAGAAAATGTGAAATGGTGTGCAGCCACATGGAGTAGAAAGTGGGAGTAGAAAGATATGCTGGTTAAAGATCTATTTTTGTGTAAATTCTGCAATAAGGGTGCATTGGGATACCCCTTTAGGCTACCTTACTCCAACAGCAAAGATACCCACTCATAAATTTATCATCTTATCACTGGCATATATTTACAAGCTTTATTTGGGATAACTTACCTTCATTTTTGTCAGCATCCAAAAGGTTCTGAAATTCTGTGTGAAATATCTCCAAGTGTTTTTCAATAAGCACTTGTTCACATTTTCGTGCTAGTTCATCTTGTGTGCTCTCATGCAGATATACCTGAACTCTACGTTGTTCCTCCAGAAGACGAGCTTCTGCCTGTAAATAAGCAAATTCCGTATTTGAATGTCTATAACTTGCAAGCTGCAAGAACTTCCTAAGTGGCTTTCCTCCTACAGCGATGGAGAAAAAAATATTATGGATAAGTATTCGAAGAAATGTCCAGAGTAAAAGCTCAAAGCAGGGGATGTGAACTATTAGGTGCCATTTTTATCAGAGGGACCCCATATATAATAAAAACTTAAGTGCTCTGGATGCTGCTTTAAGAATTGTTTTGGAAAATTTTAATAAATTTAATTCAACAACCATTTCTCTATATCAAACTAAACACAGATTCTTGTGGTACTGTTCCCTCACAGAAGTCAATGCTTACATGAAGTACCAGATACACATGACACACCTGGTCCACAACTATGTGGACTGCTCCAACTTTGTGTAGTAAGCTCAAAGGCATTTTCAGATATGTCAATATTTTGGGTCCCTTGGAATGAAAATTAAGTAATGAGGAGTGTAAATGAACCTAATTAACAGTAACCCAAGTTCAAAAGACACAGGAGCAATTTCAGAGTGGTTTAGCCTAAGAATTGCAGGGATAACTTAAGCATGTAAATGGCATGGTCATCATTTCCGCTTTTAATTTAGTTTCTGCATTTAATGGTTCATGATGTTTGAACCTGAGAACTCTGGGTTATTTATGGGTTAGTGCCACAAATAACAAATGTGCAGCCTCTGTGTTCTGCTCAGCCCCACAACTCCTGCATTAAACAACTCAGGGAATGTCACAGTGATATGCAAGTCAGCTTCATATCTCCAACATTAAATTCTGGTACAGTGGAGACCTGCCAATTTTTGCAAAATGTTAATCTATTTTTGTGTGTTTTGAATGTATTTATATTTATTTGAGCATCTTTAAGATTTTGTTGGATATTGCAAATATTATAAACCATTTCTAGGTCCAGAAGCAGGCGGGGGAACCTCACATACCTTTTTCATGTACTCTGTAACTGGATTCTGTTGCAGAAATTCAGTGCTCTCTCTTGTATAGAATCTCTCTGTGTCAGCAAGAAACTGAGATTCAAAAGATTCTTTATACACTGTCAGCGTAGGCCCTTTAGCAAAAGTATCATCTTCATTCAGTCCCAGCTCCACTAAAATCATAGAGATAAAAACAAGTAAGTAAGCTGTATGCTTCCAGAGACAATTCTATATAATATATAGGTTCCATCCAGTAAACACACGTGTCAAATTTTGTTAGGAATCCACTCAAAAGGTTTCAGTGTTAGCCAAGAAAGATAATGTGGGTTACGGAAGAACCAGCATGTGAAACTGTAACAGTTAACATGATCTACTAGGCTTAAAAGCTATAAAAAGCAGAAACAACTGTTTTAAGATTAAACTGTTTTAAGAATCAACTGTTTTTAGTTCATTTTAAGATTCTTAAAATTCAAAATTGTTAGTATCTTTTCCTTTAGAAGTTAGCTACTGAAGAGAGCAGTGTTTGAAACCACACATAATGGTTTGAAATATACGTAACCAAGACTAAAATAGAGGTGTGACTATTATTTCTGCTAAGCACAGCACAATTTTAAATCTGTCTAACTTAGAATTATGCCCCAAAAATTATCAATGTGATTTGCTTGCAAGTATGAGTGCCTAAAATTGCAGCCTTAGTGGCTTCATTAAAAATGAAAACAAACACATTTGACTTGGGTAATTACTACAGTTGCTATGAATAATTTCCTCAAATCACAAACCTATATTTTTTTCTGGAAGTCTTGTCTAATGAATTGTTTATTTATTGTCACACATCCACAGATGCATCTTTTAACCAGCAAAGATCTCACATGCAAGGCAGTCCTCTGAAATGGTTACTGGTCAGATCAAGTCTTTGAAAAGAAAGTTGCAGCTCTTGCTTCTACAGCACATGACTTTTCCACAAGGTTTAGAGCAGAGTTATTCACTCTCTCCCCCAGTTCTCACTGTTTTTGTTCAGATTTTTTTTTAAAAATTGTTCTATTTCAGTTCTTCTTCTGAGTATAATGTTGAGCAACGGACATGTGGTGATGCAAACACTCCCTCACTTCCAATGATGGTCAGCTTGAGAAGGCCTTCAAACAGGGTTAGGCAACCTGATAATCCCTGGAGTTGTTCTCCAGGTGTTTTGGATTATACCACATAGCCCACCCTGCTTTAGAAAATCCTCCCAGATCTTCTAAGGGGTGGGAAAGGATGAGAAACCATGACTATTCACATTCTTCACAGAGCTGCAAAAAATTAGGAAGGGAATCACACTCAGACCACAAGCCCATGTTAGGTACAACTGGCAAAAAGTCATTAGCAATGAAAATTAATTTACCATAAGACTGCACAACTCCACTGATCAGTCTTGTGTTGATTGTTTCACCATTTCTTTCCTTTTCAATCAGTTTCAGCACAGCATTTGTTACCTTTGAAAATATAGAATGAACTATTTATAGCATCTAAACACACAGTCAAAAGTTTAAGACCAACCAAGCATTTCTTATAAACTGAAAACTGAAAAATATTCCCTTTTACCAGCATGGATAAAGACTATTTTTAAATGTTTTCCTTAATTTGATTCTTTTTTAATGAAGAAATATGACTAGTATCCCCTTTTGGAAAAACTACAGTTTAAAATGTCATCAGTCAAGCTCATATAGAAGATTATTTTACCTCTAATCATTTTACCTCAAACATACGCCAGTCAGGATATCATAGTAGATTATAGGTTTTTGTGATAGGAATGAGTTGCAAGTCTTCAGTTTGCAAATTCCCTGGTTGTGAAGATATCAGTTGCTTGCACTTGATGTTAACTAGGCTTTGTTGAAATAAACCAGCTTCATAATCCAAGGTTAGAAGTGGCAGTTTCACCCCGTCCACACACACACAGAGTTAAAACTAGCTTAATTTATGTTTGAATGAACAACAAAGCTGTGATTAATTTTTAAAAAGTAATAAAGACTTCCAATCTCTTCCCATTCCCATACTGGAGAGATATTTGGGAAAGGGGGAACACAAGCCTGAGGATCACTGCAGCTCAATCCTTTCTCAAAAAAAAAAAAGGGGGGGGGGGGGGGGAGGGAGGGAGGGAGGGAGAATCATCTCGACAAGTTCAGTCCTCAAATTATAGTTTTTATGTCTCTACTAATCAAACAGCACAGATGTTCTCTCTTTTATTCAATAAAAAACCAGGACAGGCTGTGAGTTTACACATATGGCTTATATGCCTAAACAATCTGTTTGGAACATTCTAGAGCTAAACAGAATTTTAGGCAGGAGCCCTGACTTTCTCCTCTGCGCATGCTCCAGGCATAGCTCTCACCTGCATTTCAGGACCAAGTCTGCTGTAGCAGAGGAATAAAGAAACCAAGGCACCGAAGTGGGGAGAAGGGTGGGTACTGCGACTTCACATATAACCGCTCAAAGACCTACGGGTGCAAATAAGCAATCCATCCCCCTCATTCATGGGGGAGGGGGGATTCTCTAATCCATCACTGCAATAATCAAGTCTTTTAAAGACTCAATATAGAACCATGACCACAGGAGCCTCGACCTCTAGTCCGAAGTATTTTGCCTTTCTGAGGACCTGCTCTGCGCATAGCCTTATGTCACCCAATAGTGTGTGGTGATTTTGATCCTCCTACAGTGGCATCTGCTGAGGTGGCTGAAGCCCAGAAAAATTAAGTGAAGAAGAGAAGGAGCAGGAGTCATCCTGCACTGAAAAGAGGTCATTAAATGTTGTCTCCATGTTATGGGCCAGTGATGGCTGGGTAAGTTGCTCTGCTGGTGAAGAAAGCATAGCAGCTGGTGACTCTGGGAACCCTTTCTGAATTACGAAGGGTATTCAATGTATGCTCAGTATCGGGTTGAGATGACAAACCTATCTGGTGGTACCATATTTACTATTTTTCATGACCATCTTAACCTTTCAATGGTCTGTGCAAGATGGGTGCTGTGAATGCTCATGGCACCTCAGAAACAAGTGCGAGTCGAGTGCTGTAGGGAGTTTTTAGAGCAATGTGGTGAAGATCCGTCGAGTATTTTCGACCAGATTGTTACTGGAGATGAAACTTGGGTTCATCACTATGACCCTGAAAGTAAGCAGGAGTCCATGCAGTGGCATAAAAAAGGTGCTGACCCTCCGAAGAAATTCAAAGTCACTCCATTGGCTGGAAAAATCATGGCCACAGTGTTTTGGGACTCAAAGGGAATTTTATTGATGGAGTACACAAAAAAAGGTGAAACCATAAACGCAGTATCTTACGCAACCACTCTGCATAATTTAAGAGAAGCAGTTAAAGAAAAAAGGTGGGGAAAATGGACCGCAGGTGTGTTCCTTCTTCAAGACAACGCGCCTGTTCACACAGCGCGTGTTTCGAAGGCTGCTGTGTGAGACTGTGGTTTCGAAGAAATAAACCACCCACCCTATAGTCCGGACCTGCCTCCCAGTGACTACTACCTATTCCCAAATTTAAAAAAAGATCTTCGTGGAAAGCGATTTTCCGAGAATGAAGAGCTAAAGGCGGCAATTAATGCACATTTTTTAGGCAAGGAGGAAGGGTATTTTTTACAGAGAACTGAAAAGTTAATTTCTAGATGTAATAAGTGTATTGAAGTTATGGGGGATTACATTGAAAAATAAAAATTCTTTCAATTCATTATTCCTTTTTCTTCATGCTGATACCAAGAATACATTGAACACCCCTCATATCTCCCAAAATAAATTTCCTGTAAGATGAGGGTGGAGATGAAGTGGCAAACTCATAAAGCTTGGTAATACAGTACCAAGTAACAGAAAATCAGGTATCATGAATTCCCCCCAGCACTCCCTGAGGTGTTGTATTTGGGGGGTGGGGGTAACTCTTTCTCTCTCTTTTGCACAAACAACTGGTATCTGGAGTTGCTATTGAACCAAGCTAAATGAGACCCTTTTGAGACATTAGTAGCTCTGGAAGCCATCTTATTTCTATTTTTCAATTATTTCTGGGGGGGGGGGGAGGCAGTCAATGGGTGAAAACCTCCCAAAGTTCCCAACTCCTGCTTTAATGAGATATATGTAGACTAATCACTAGACCTTGAATTATATTCCTCATTTGTTAAAATTGGTTTGGTAAACTGCAAGTAAACAGAATTGTCATAACAGCCAGGTCAGGAAATATATACAGTGGTACCTTGGCTCACGAACGCCTCAGTTCACGACCAAATCGGGTTGCAAACAAAAATTTCATACAAAATTTCATACAAATTTCATACAAAATTTCATACAAATTTCATACAAAATTTCACTCAGATTGTGAACTCAGCATTGGATGGTGACCACGATCGCGGCCATCCCCCCCCCCCCCGTTGTGCTGGGGGGGAGATGGCCGAGATCACGCCCATCTTTCCTGTTAGGAGCACAAATGCAATCTTGGCCATCTCCCCCACAGAACGATTGCACCCATCTCTCCCCCAACCCCCGCCAGTGTGCCCCATTCGTGCCCGTCTCTCCCCTCCCCAGAGTGGCCCATTCACGCCTGTCTTCCCCTGCCCCCAGTGTGCCGGGATGACGGGCGCGTGCAGGAATGACGGGCACGATCATGGTTGTGCTGGGGTGGGGCGGGGAGATGGCCACGCTCGTGTTCTGGGTGGTGGTGGGGAGATGTCACTTTGCTTCACATTTTTCTGATTAAAAAAACTAGTTACAAAATGGATTAACCTTATTTACATTGAACCTTATGGGGAAATTTAACTTGGCTCATGACCAATTTGGGTCACGACCAGAGTCCTGGAATGGATTAAGTTCGTGAGTCAAGGTACCCCTGTAAAGTTTAAAATGAGATATGTAAACTGCATTGCGTATTTAAAGCAGTCTTTTCTTTGGCACTTAAATCATCTTAACATTGATCCATCCTGCCTTTCCACGCCAGAGGAGACAGGGACAAGAACATGCAAACACTTATGAACGATGCTGCCACTTGGTCTCCTGAGTAAGCAAATGAAACAATCCTTCACTATCAAACAGCTATTAGTAAAAACATCACAGAACCTTCCAGTCCTAAATGCAATCTTCAACTAGATGCTCATAGCCTCAATGATTCACAGTCAATATCTTGTAATAATGGGGATTTTTTTTTTCAAGGGCTCTTTTTTTCCACAGAACATTTTCCATTTAGTAAAAATGGATAAATCCCACTTCCAAGCACAGCACTTTCTACATTGCAATTCATGTTTTTCAGGTGATTACCCCTAGCATGTACATGAGAGAATACATTTGACTAATATGTGACTGAAATGCATGTAATTTCAAAATTATAGGGAACTAGAAGTCCCCTTCATGGAACACTGCCTTGTCATGGTGAAGGGGCTTGTGTAGCTCAATGAAGCTATGAGCTATGCCATGCAGGGCCACCCAAGATGGACAGGTCATAGCAGAAAGCTCTGACAAAACGTGATCCACTGGAGAAGGAAATGGCAACCCACTCCAGTATCTTTGCCATGAAAACCCCATGGACAGTACCAAAAGGCAAAAAGATATGATGCCGGAAGATGAGCCCCTCAGGTCGGAAGGTGTCCGATATGCTACTGGGGAAGAGCAGAGGGCTAGTACTAGTAGCGCCAGAAAAAATGAAGCGACTGCCTCAAAGCCAAAAGGACACTCAGTTGCTGATGTATCTGGTGG